AAATAAATAAATTCTATTTCACCTTAAAAAAATACAGAAAATCTGTGAATTTTAAAGTAGGCATTGTTTAAAAGTTAGTTTGCAAGAATTTCCACTAATCACTCTAGACCAGGGGTCGGCAAACTTTTTGATTCAAGGGCCACAATGGGTTCTTAAACTGGACCAGAGGGCCGGAACAAAAGCATGGATGCAGTGTTTGTGTGAACTAATATAAATTCAAAGTAAACATCATTACATAAAAAGGTACGGTCTTTTTTTTTTTTTTTTTTTTTTTTGTTTTTTTTTTAAATGCATTTTTTTTTTTTTTTTTTTTTACAGAGAGGAAGGGAGAGGGATAGAGAGTTTGAAACATCGATGAGAGAGAAACATCGATCAGCTGAAAACGGTCTTTTTTTTTTTTTAGTTTTATTCATTTCAAACGGGCCGGATCCGGCCCGCAGGCCATAGTTTGCCCACGGCTGCTCTAGACAGTCCCTCGCTTTTAAAAAAGTTAATTTTTACAAGATATTTTAAAAGAGAATGTACCTTTTTTCTTTTGAACATTTAAGGGACATACAAATAGGAAGGAAAAAATTTAAAATTATGAGGTTCTTCACAACAAAAAAAAGTATTAATGGGATTTTGAACATTTGGAATGTTACTATAATTTCTAAAGTTAAAAATTTTAAATAATTAACCTAATTTTGATGCTTCTATACTCATAATCTGCTTTGCTGAAATCTACTACTATGTATTAGAAACTTTGCTGTTGGCAAAGAGTCTTTGTTAAGTGCTCTACAAATTATGTTAGATAAGCCTGGCTTATGTTAGTATTACAAAAGATGTGATTACCCTTTCTGTCCGATCAGCACAAAATAATCGAGTGTGATGTCTCTTCTGAACTACAATGTAGGTTATTCCAGGTTGATAGTCCTTCTCCAAACTGATGCAGGCTTCTCGAATTGCTAGTAGTTCATAATATAATACCTAGAGACGATGAAATGGAAAGACTTGACATAGCCATTCTCTTACACAAACTTCAAAGTAAGATAATTATTTAGTCTCAGTATTTCTTAATGTCATCACTTACAGCTAAATATATCTCTCTATTTCATCCTAATTATTATCAGAGTATGGTCTTAATAATCAAGACTTATACATCCATAGTAAATATTTTAAAAGGAAGCATCAAATTTTGATTTTGGGAACTCTCAACTTAATTAAGGTTTCTAACTTCAGAACTAGACATCATATTATATACACAGTATTTGATTTAATCATAGTATGATGAGATCCCAGGCAACCAACCTGCCTAAATTGTCCCTCTGAAACACCATCCCGATAAAAGATGATACGAGTAGGTTTGAACCGAGTTGACTTATAAAATTGAATGAGAAGTTCTCGGACCATGGAGGCCAAGTCCTGGATGATCTCCTGTCGGGGTCTCTGAACTCGTACTGTAGCACAGTATCTGCTTGGGTGGGCATCCATACTACCTACAACCTAAGTTGGAAAAGTAAAGAAAAATAGAAAATTAAGATAATCAAGACTACATGATTATGAATTTACTGCAATTAAAAAATTGAAAGAAAGTACATGGATTTCATTTAAATTTGTATTTTACTATAACCTTACTATTTACCACTGTTCATTTGAAGGGTAATAAAAAACAGATAATTCCCAGTGAAGAACAGAATAAAAGACCCAGTATAGGGTCAAAAATTATTTTCCTATAAGAAAGACTGCACTTTACATTTAACAATTAGATTCTAATTTTGAGATGTCGCTGATACCTAATGATTAGTAAGGGGAAAAAAGAGACAAAAAGACATACATAAAGAGAATAAGAGAAAGAAGATAAGTAAAAAAGAGGATACATGAATACCCTTGATTTCTCTTTATATCTTTTATACTTTAGCAAACCACCCCAAAAGCCATACTAAAGACTCTGGCATCATCTTAGGGCTGCCATATTTTTTAAAAAATATATTTTAAAAAAATCAAGTAATGTTCAAGTTGGGTAAAATATCATATGGCTTTCTCTAGTTTAAGAAATACATTTAAAAGAATGGACATGGAAAAATTATAAGTATAGAAGTGGGCAAACCTATAGGAGGCAGATATTAAAAGTAGGACTAAAACAAAGAATTTAGGTCAAAGTATTAAACTAGACAAAGGTGGGAGATATTTATATTTAAAAAAGTGCAACCCACCAATCTTATATGTAATGCATCTTTCTGTATCAAAGACAGTACTGAAATATGTAAGCAAACTTGGAGAGATCAAATAGACAAATTAAAGTAGGAAATAAATTAAAGATTTGAGCAATATCATTAATAAACTTGATTTAATAGGTATATATGAAACTTGTAGCCCTCAAACCAGAGCAAAATCATTCTTCTGAAAAAATCCAAAGAACCTATGAAAGTTGACTTTTTCTCTATCCTCTTATATAATAAAAAAGTAATATGCAAATCAACTGAACGGTGGAATGACCAGTTGCTATGACGTGCACTGACCACCAGGGGGCAGATGCTCAATGCAGGAGCTGCCCCCTGGTGGTCAGTGCGCTTCCACAGGGGGAACGCCACTCAGCCAGAAGCTGGCTCACAGCTGGCCAGTGCAGCGGTGGTAGCGGGAGCCTCTCCTACCTCTGTGGCAGTGCTAAGGACGTCCGACTGACAGCTTAGGCCCGCTCCCCAAGCCATCAGTTGGACATCCCCCAATAGCTCCTGGGCAGCCAGAGGGATGTCTGCCAGCTTAGGCCCGATCCCCCGGGGAGTGGGCCTAACCTGGCAGGTGGGCATCCCTTGAGGGGTCCCGGACTGCGAGAGAGCACAGGCCAGGTTGAGGGACCCTCTTGAGTGCACGAATTTTCGTGCACTGGGCCTCTAGTTTTATATAAGGGACTTAAGCATCCAACGGTTTTGGTATCTACTGGGGTCCTGTAACCAATTCCTCCAGGATACAGAGGCATGACTCTGT